AGGGTGAAAATTCAAAATACAGATAAAGAGGGTGGGGGAAGATAGATTTATAGATCGTTAATTATATACCCAAATGATAGTCATGTTTGAAATTTTCTCATTTATTTATTCACATCAAAAGAAAAAAGATCTGAAACTCCAATAGTTGACACACCACTATATATTATAATATAAGTACTTCCTCCATTTTACTTAGTGTCTCTTAAAAGAACGATTTTTTTTTAAGACAAACTCTTTAGTTTCAGCTTTTCACATAACATGTTTAAGCCATCAGATTAAAAGATAATTTTAATACATTTTTATATATCTTTAGTTTAAAACCACGAAATAAATAAAAAATCTTTAATGTGAAAAGGAGGGAGAGTACTAGGTAAAACTATATATGTCATTTACTATATATGGCGTTTACTTGAAGAAATGCTGATTAGAGCTTTAAGAAGGATTCGAGACTGGACCATTCAACAAAGGTGGACCATGCATAGGCAATAGCTCACTTTTGCTTTTTTTGTTTTGTCCTTTAATTTTCTACACTAACTTGGAATATTAATTGGATCACACTTTTATATGGATGTGATGTGATGTGATGTGAAAGGGTTATATATTCATATATATTGAATTATATAGATCTTAAAAGAAAAGATTTTTTTAGTCTTCTAGAAGGAAAAATATCGCAAAGAGAAGTTCATGATATCTCTTTCAAATGAATTGTCAAAAATTTAAAATTTATGAATCGTGAATTCATATAACAATATAATTTAGTTATTCTATTCATACATTTAATATATCTCGAGAGATCTAAACAAAAGTTATTTGATTTGTTCGAGCCAACGCCTCTGGCATGTGACAAGAGTCACATTTTTTTATTTTTTGTTACATAGAATTCATTCAACTTTAATGGTTATTGCATAAAATTATTTAACTTTTAATTTATCACACAGTTATACTTCTATTTTTTGTCATATAAAATCATTTAATTTTGTCCAAATTATAAATAAAAATAAATTTCACCTAAGTTTTTATATCTCATAGTGTACATTTTATATGTGGATCTAATTTGTTTTCAATGTGGCTAAATATTCGACAATTTAATTGGATGAAACACGTTGTGAGAGTGACTTTCCTTTAGATATCTATTTTTGGGTGAGTCAACTCTATATTTAGTTTATTTTCCATATTAATAAACTACAAGATCAAGACAAGGTAAATGTTGATTGATCTAGACTTATTAAATTGTTTTCCCACACAATCCCACCAAAAGAATATTAAAACAAAATAATATGAGGCAACTTTAGTTATCGAGGATATGATCTAGATATATAGGAGAGTACTTAGGCCGCAGATAGTGGCAGAGCCACCTTATAGTTAGGGGTTCATCCGAACCCCTTTCGATGGAAAAATATATTATTTATACATGGTTAAAATATGTTTTTAGATATATAGTAGATATTGGACTTCGTGTGTCTATGTCTTCAAATTTTAAATTCCTTATTGAAAATCTTGGCTCCGCTATTGGACATGAAGGGTGATGGTCAAGTGTTCTGGCATGATTCGTTGTCATGGAAAAATCCATTTGCTTGTAGCACTACATAAAAAGTTTGATAGTTTTGGCAACATTGTATGTTTTATATATTGGAGATTTCAAAGATTTTAATTGTCTTTATATATATATACCATATTATAGTAAGCTAAGCATGGTGTGGACAACTCGTAAATATATAAGATATGTAAAATACTTTGCCACAGCTAGTTTTAATCTTTTGTTATTATAATAGTAGTATAAAACTTGTTTAAACTAATTAAAATTATTGTACTCGTGCTTTACATGCTTGATTTATTAAGTTTACTCGAGTTGAGGGTCTATTAAAAATAATATTCTTCTTACATTCATTTGCAAGATAAGATAAGATTGCGTACACACTACCATCTTCAAACTTTGCGTATAGGAATAAACTTTAAAGTGACGAAAATTGTGTAGATTTTTTTCGTTAGTTCCCAAACTTTATTAGTCACTAGTGGTAGCAAATGGGCGGGTTGGGTCAAATTTTGGCAGGCTGAAAATGGGTCAATATAAAATGGGTAATAATTCAACCCGCCCATATTTGATATGGATAAAAATGGATTGGGTAACAAATGGGTTGGATAAAATATTAGTTTACTCATATTTACCCATATTTTCATTATAGATAGTACTCTACTTAAGAATTCAACATGAAGAAAATATTTTAGTCCTTTTTTTAGATGAAAAATATTGAAAATGCTTCATTTAGTTTTGTTGTATCATGAAAGTAAAAAAAAATATCGTATAACTTTTCAATATAAAATAAATCTATGTAATAACAAGGGGAAAATATTTTTAATTTCAAAGTAAATGAATATTTGCATTTTAGGACTAAAAACATGCTTAATGCACTTTAAGCAATGTCAATACTAATACATAATTTGCTTATTTTACACTATTATTTATTATCCAAATATAAAAATTAAACAAATAAAAAATATAATTATAATTAACAAAAGAAATGTACATTTAAAAAATATATTTTTGAAGGGCCAAAAAACTTCACCTTTTCAATTATAGAGAAAAATAATTAGTTCGGTAGAAGAACATAAAAAGAAAGAGAAGTTACAATATTTTTAGTGATATTATGAATTTTGAGTGAATAAAAGTTAGAAGTTTAACTCATTTGGCTAATCTATATTTTACCCATAGTTTACCCATATTTTTATGGGTTGAATATGAATATCAGTTCATATTTTTCCCATGTAAAAAATTACTCATCCAACTCATTAAAATATAAACGAATTAGACAGAATACTAAAATATGAGCTCATTTTACCGACACTAATCACTGCCATAGGATTCTCTATAGCTGGACAAAGCTGCTACAGAAAAAAAGGAAAAGAGGAAGAAGAAGTAAAGTTGTTTTTAAAACAGAAAGGAATAAAGGGAAGAGGAAAAAGGAAAACCGATTAAATTAATTTAAATTAAATGGGAATAAAGGTAATCTTCTTGTTTTTTGACAAAGACTAACCCTACTATAGATGACTAGCCATAAAGGCAAAATGTATGGTTCAAATTGCAGACGTGGTAATGCACGCATGTTATGTTAGATGAGAAAAGACACAAAAAAATAAATAATGAGAAAAGATAAAAAATGTTTTCCATCGGTGTTCTAGATTCGCGCCACGTATGACCTATTAGCGTTGTTTATCAAGGATATTTTCATCTTCAGAAGTCAAATTCGAGACTTTTGATTGAGGAAAGAGCAACTCCATCCACTTCACCACGTAAGAGATGCTAGTTTTTTCAATTTTTAAACGACAACTGGCATTCGATTATTCTTTGTCCATTTTTAGTGTTGTTAAATCAATTAGTATAATTTGTTTGTCTTCGCATGTACTTAAGTGCTCGTTTGTACGAAGAATAAGGAATAGTTATTAATTTCGTAATTAATTTAAAATACGTTTATTTTATGTTTTGATTGAGATAAAATTATAAGATAATTTATTTTGGGATTATAGTGTTATTTTTATCCCATATTAAGAATGACGGAGCAAGCCACAAATATAAAGAGATATTAATATGGTGCAAAAGAGAGAAATAAAATACCCTCTAATTAAAAAAATTCTTACAAGGGTGTGCAAAACAAAACACACCCTTGATTCCTTTTTATTTGTCACAATTTCTTTTTTAGAGTAAAACTATATGAACTTTGACTAATATTTTAAGAGTATTTTTCACCATTATTGATATGAAAAAATTTGTAATTTTTAGTACTTTTTATATAGTTTTTAAATATCTAATTTTTTATTTTAAAATATTAAATTAATGTAAAACTTTGAAAGTTAATACTTTCGAAAAATGTAACGCGACAGCTAAAGAGGAACGGATGGAGTATAACAAGCAAGATGGACCATAGGGAGAAGTTTCTTCCTCATTAATACTTGATATTGATTTGTCAGGAAGAAGAATCATCTTACCAAGTTGATCTGATTATAAAGTCAACTCCAACATTATTGTAATGAGCATTAATTAATAATAACATGTTTAATTGAACAAATTCAAGCATTAGCCACCGATATCATCGATCCACTTGCTCTAAACCATCCATTTTTCAACTTCATTATTTTGAGAATGTATAATAGCTTCTTCCCATATTTTTTAATTAAAGAGAAAAGGGTCAAAAATGCCCTTAAACTATGTGAAAGAAACAAAAATGTCCTCCGTTTATAGTTTGGCTCAAATATGTCCTTATCGTCAATACTTTGGTTCAAAAATGTTATTTGCAAATAATTATAAACGGAGGGCATTAAATTATGTTTGCAGATAATTATTCAACTTTTGATTTATTACACTAAAATTACTCAGCTATGTTTATATCTTAAAGGAAATTTAAAAATATCGACAAAATGATATTTTTTTCTTTTTCTTCGTATATTTATTTTGGGATCCCACTAATTCAGCATTTTCGATAAAATGTTTTGTTTGACTCTACAAACACAAATATCTCTATAGTAGTACCAAGCAAAAACGTTTTTTTCCCTCTATTAGCAAAATTGTGACACAATAGTAATCTTTAACCATGACTGCAAGGAATTGAATGTCAAATGTAGGCAGTAGGCCAATACTATGCTTTTTCACAAGTAGTATTTTGTCAAAACATGATTCACAATACACAATTGTACATAGCCAAAAATAAAAGCAATCATGACTGAATAATTTTATTTTATTTTTCCATTTGTTATCTGATAATCGTATTAAGGTTTGATTAGTCCAAATTTGTATATTACATGACTCATTGTTAAAGGCGGTGCTTCCAACAAAATTAAAAAATGAGACGGATCGAGGTAGAAGATCTCTAACCATGACCATAATGCAATAACAATATGTAGATAGTAATCAATATGGATCGTGGTGAAATGATTGAGATTCCTCTATCCTTGACCAGAAATTTCATATTCGAGCCCTAATATGCCGAATGAAAAAAGAAGACAATATGCAGATAGTAAACCAATTCAAAACTTGAAACACAATACACAACTGTACATGCTAAAAATTAGAGCAATCATGCCAGAATAATTGAGTATCTTAGAAAGGAAATTAAAAGGACAAAAAAACACTCTCATTCTTAAAACTAAGTACTGATTTTTGTCATATTTCCAAACAACAACCATATTGAACATGACCACTATATTCATCAGAAGTTTCTACTTTTGTCCATTTTTTCACTTTGCCATCACTCTCCACATCCAAATCCAAAGCATAAATACTATATAGTTCATCAAATTGGCCCCTTCCCACCAATATCAACTTCCCTTGACACGCTGTCAAATATGCCACGCTGGTAATCCCTGCTGGCAACCCCCGACACGATGTCAAATATGCCACGCTAGTAATCCCTGCTGGCAACCTCGTCAACTTCCGCCACGTAGGATCTTCCTTCACTGCCACGTCACCGCCTCGGCACATGTATAATTTCCCATCATCACCTTCAATGCAACTATGAGGAGAAGTGTTGATCACACTCAAGAAGTCATCTTCCAGTTGCCACTGCCACGTGGCGGTGTCGAACACCTCAGCATCATTCTCAAAGTGACCTTGCGCCCACGTAGGATAACCGCCGATGACGTGGAATTTACCTTTGTGAAATACAACCTTACATTCGTCTCTCTCCATGACCATGTCAGGAAGTGTAATCCACTCGTCTTTAACGACGTCGTATGAGAGCGCCGATTTCATCGCATTCTTTTCGTCGTCATGGCCACCGGCGACGACGATCATTCTATTGGAATCCGATGCACATCCGAAGAATGACCTCTGCTGACCTGGCATATCCGCCCCACGACGCCATGACCCGGATATGAAATTGTAAACGAAAACACAATCCATAACCCGCCAAGTATCCGGATCACACCCGCCAATCACTACTAAATCCGACCCGACTCCAACAATCCGGCAAAACCTCGGCAATCCATCAATCAACTCCGGTATCGGCGGCAAATCATACCAGGAGCCGTTTTCCGGGTCACATACAGAGAGCCGGTAAACCTGAGTAGAAAAAAGTGCAGTATCACCCTCTGGTTTTTTCACAGTAGCAACCATAGATTGTACCATGGCGAAAACGGTTCGGGTCAACCCAGAAACTTTCCGCCGGCGGCGAAACTCCGGCAACGTGATCTCGCCGTTCCATTTTTTGCATACTGAAGCTGCTTTAGAAAATTGATCAACAGGTAGACGTATGAGACATTCAAGAGCTATTTCATTAGGTATCCCCGGGATCAGGTCCATGGCCCTAGCTCGCCTTTTTGGTATATTATGATTTGGTCGTAAATTTGTATGGAAGAAAATATTTGAAGTAAATTTAGTTATGTTTTTTCCTTTTTCAGATTTAGTAGAAAGGGAAATAAAATCATGAATTTATGGGGCAAAATGAAAGGACATAATTTATGGAACGTTGGTTTGACAAAACTGTAAGCGTGACTGGGTCCAGTTTTATAGTGTTCGTTGGGGATGGATAATGAGTAGTGAAACAAGTTAAAGAGTTTACTTTGTGAAGTAGCAGTGGGGGCAAAGTGGAGGGCACAGAGTCCAGAGAGGTTGTTTTCAGAGTAATACACACAAGTACTGCAACTTGGTGAATACGGCTATAATCAAAATTATAATTGGCTGGCTATAATATTTATAGAGTAATTACAGGCATATAACGCGTAGAAGTTCTTGCGATTGTCACGTGCCATGACATCATTTATTTATTTTTTATCCGATCTATATTATATTGTAAAGTTAAATTGTTCCTAATTATAAAATGGTGACATTATTTTTGAGACAGACTAAAAAAAAAAAGAGCGTTAAATAAATTGAAACAAAGAGAGTATCTCACAAGTCATATGGTCTCTACATCAAATATATAGCTAGGTTTATAATTGTAAAATAATACATTTATGTTAAGACTATATTTTGTTAAAACAACCCCACATTATTATATCTACTAACCATTTATTTCATATGTAAATAAAATCTATAATCACATCATTATTTTTTAAAATTTATTATTCTCACCAACATAAAATTCATTATTAATTTTAAATTGACGAATATAAATGATAAAGTAGAAATTGATTTGGTGAATACAAATAAGAATCGAGGGAGTAATATTTTTTTGGTTTTTCATAGTAAAAAAAAAATCTCTTTCGGCTAAATATGAAAATGTTTAAAACAATTTAATATTAAAATGGACAAAATTGGTGATGTATGTTTGATAGTTACTACTTCCAGTATGTTTGATTTTAGCACGAAACTAATGCATTGAAAATGTGCAATTGCACACAGGTGAAATAAGGCATGAACCATTATGATATTGACACACACGTGAAAATTGTCATAGCTTGTACAATGTCACATTTTGCGAGAATACCAAAGAAGTGATGGAATATTTATGGTCTATGAGCATGAAAATATAGTTGCGGATGATATTGACCAACAAATGGCTCAAATTAACAATGTTGGTTCGTCTTCTTTGTCATATGATCGAGATATGCAAGTTCAACGTGAGGAGATTGTATGTATTATGTGGGAGAATTATATTAAAGATCAGTACGTACACTACAATTTTATGTTCAATTTTTTTATTGAATTAAAGTTTGATCAATTAAAATTAGAAGAAATTGTTACTTAAGTGGAGAACAAATAACTTTGTAATAATTTATTATGCGATTTTATAAATTTTTGTTTATTTTATAAGATTGAATAAACAATTGGGGGCTATTTTAATAGTTTCACAACTTATAGAATTCTTATGTTTATGAGAAAATATACAACACACATATTCAATATCACATGTCCAAACAAAACTTCATTTTCGTCTCATGATTTCATATTATGATATCATATCATGATTCTATATAATGATTTCATATCGCATATCCAAACAGGCCCTTAATATATACTTATTTTGTCTAACTTCAGACAAAAATATGTTCCTTCTTCACTTTTTCCTCGAACGTCCTCTTCTTTTATTTCAAATTTTAATTTGGTGTTGGTATGGAGAGTTAATGCACGCATGAATGTAACAAATACAATCATCTGATATTTTAAAAATATGTAGAAAAGAGAGAAGTGGAAACATATAATACAATTCAACAAATACAATTGCTTAACACTTAAAAAATATAGGCCTAACCCATTGGTAGCCCCCTAAAGTTGGCATCATGTTTCACTTAGACAACTTAAGGAGGCAATGTTCATTTTAGACAGTTAATGTAGGGTTTCATTGTGTCATTTTGACACTTTTTGTTTACATAGCATAACATTGACTAGCGTGTGAAATGATTTTTTTTGTTAATTTTTAATTATATTTTTCTTCTTCTTCCCATTTTTTAGCTACCATTTTGCATACATCGTGAATGAAGGTTTCAATAACTGATGGAGTGAATTTCTTTGAACTAGCAAAATCTTTCATTCACTTAAACCTATTAATTAGGCCAAAAAAAGAAGGAGAAAGTGACTGTAAAATTTTTCAATGGCGCACAGATTTAGTGAACCAATGCAGATGTTTCTGTCAAAGGAATAAAGGTATTTAGAGAAGACAAGCCGATGGGCCATTTTCTGCAAAAGGTATGGCGAAGACACACGTTGGGCGGAGAGGATAATCAGTGTTTTAGGGGGTGGGGTATTTGGAGAAAACTGTTTGGGGTGGGGGGTTTCTTTTATTGATTTAAGTTTTATTTTAATTTGTAATTATTTGGTTCATGTGTCATATTATCATTGGCTAATTTTTATTTTCACTCAAAATTAATGATTTAAAAATTACTTTTGACATAAATGACAAATGTCGTTATTTAATTTGTCACTTTACACGTCGTTCGCGAGTGTAACACACACATTATATATTTTTGTTGATATAAAAAAAGTGTCAAAATAACACAATGGGACCCAATATTAAGTGTCTAAAATGAACATCGCCTACTTAAGATGTCTAACTGAAATATGGTGCCAACTTTAGGGGACTATCGATGGATTAGGCCAAAAATATATATACAAATATAGGCACAGAAGGTGGAAACACATGCTACAATCTAAATCCACTATGAAATATGAATACAATAATTATATATATCCAAAAAAATAATATAAATACAGTTGTTTGGTACCTCAACAAATATAGAAATACTTAGAGGGGAGAGTGAAAATACAAAATACAAATAAAGAGGGTGGGGAAAGATAGATATGTTTGTTTGTTTTTTTTACTTAGCATCTCAAACAATGTTGATATGAATCGTAAATATTCAAACTATAATTTTAGATGGTTAATTATATACCCAAAATGATAGTCATGTTTGAAATTTTCTCATTAATTTATTCGCATCAAAGGGAAAATATTTGAAACTCCAATAGTTGACACACCACTATTATAATATAAGTATTTCCTCCATTTTATTTTAATATGTTTCAAAAAGAAACGTCTTTTTTTTTAAGACAAACTCTTTAGTATTAGCTTTCCACATAACATATTTAAGTTATCAGATTAAAAGACAATTTTAATGCATTTTTAGATATCTTTAGTTTAAAACCACGAAATTTTTTTTAAAAAATATTTTCTTTAATGTGAAAGGGAGGGAGAGTACTAGGTAAAACTATATATGTCATTTACTATATATGGCGTTTACTTGAAAAAATGCTGATTAGAGCTTTATGTAGGATTCGAGACTGGACCATTCAACAAAGGTGGACCATGCATATATAGGCCATAACTCACTTTTGCTTTTTTGTTTTACCCTTTAATTTTCTATACTAACTTGGGATATTAATTGGATCACACTTTTATATGGATGTGGTAGAATTATATATTCATATCTATTGAATTACTAGATATAGGACCCCGTGCCAGCACGGGGCCCAATATATATATATATTTTTTTTTTATTATTATTATTATTTTTTTTTAATTTATGTCATATTATGGAATTTGAGAAATTATTGAAAATTTTATATGATTTTTAAAATATTTTAAATTGTTAGCTATTGTGATTTGTAGTACTTTTTTTTTAACATAATTTTGAAAATAATATTTATTACTCTCTTTGTTCTAATTTATGTGGCACATGCAAAATTTCAAATATTAACCCTTTTTTATATGTCTCTTTAATATATTAAGTTGTTAATTATTGTATTTTATACTACATTTTGAACCTACTTTTTTAATAATATATGTTATTTGCCATGTCCCAATTTATGTGGCATTAATTGATAGATTTGTTGGAGCTTGTTAATTATTGTAATATATAATATGGAGTATTTAAGTTATATATATTTATTATTATTATAAATATAAATATAAATATTATATGTTACCTTTTTTATCTTAATTTATATGGCATTGATAGAATTTAAAGTGTCAAATAATTGTTAATTATTGTAATATATAATATGGAGTATTTAAGTTATATATATTTATTATTATTATAAATATAAATATAAATATTATATGTTACCTTTTTTATCTTAATTTATATGGCATTGATAGAATTTAAAGTGTCAAATAATTGTTAATTATTGTAATATATAATATGGAGTATTTAAGTCATTTATAGTATAGTAATTAATATATAATATGTAGTATTAAAGTGGAAAGTGGTGGGGCCCACGTATAAATATATTGGATATTAGTAGTGATTCTTATTGGAACACATGTTGAGGTGTGGTGCTTGGTTATTCACACTTATTATATATAGTAATATAAATTTTAAAAGAAAAGATTCTTTGAGTCTTCTCGAAGGAAAAAGACCGCAAAGAGAAGTTCATGATATCTCTTTCGGATGAATTGTCAAAAGTTTAAAATTTATAAATCGTGAATTCATATAACAATATAATTTAGTCATTGAGTTCATACATTTAATATGTTGAGAGAGATCTAAACAAAACTTATTTGATTTGTTCGAGCCAACACCTCTTTCTACCAAAGAAACATGACATGAAGGGTGATGGTCAAGTGTTCTGGCATGATTCGTTGTCATGGAAAAATCCATTTGCTTATAACACTACTATAAAATGTGATAGTTTTGGCAACATTGTATGTTTTATATATTGGAGATTTCAAAGTTTTTAATTGTCTTTTTATATATATACCATATTATTGTAAGCTAACCAATGATGTGGACAACTCGTGTAAAATACTTTGCCACAGCTAGTTTTAATCTTTTGTTATTATAATGATAGTATAAAATTTGTTTAAACTATTAAATATAACACAAATTATTTAACTCGTGCGTTACATGCTTGATTTATTAAGTGTACCTGAGTCGGGTATAAAAAATGATACTCTTTCTATATTCATTCACAAGATAAAAATAATTAAGATTGCGTACACATTACTATCTTCAAACCCCGCGCATAGAAAGAAACTTTAGAGTGACGAAAATTGTGGAGTAGATTTTTTTTGTTAGTATCCCAAACTTTATTAGTCACTACCATAAGATTCTCTATAGCTGGACAAAGCTGCTACGTAAATAAAATAAAAGGGGAAAGAAGAAAAAGAGGTAAGGTTGTTTTTAAAACTGAAAGGAATAAAGGGAAGAGGAAAAAGGAAAAGCGACTAAATTAAATTAAATTAAATTAAATGGGAATAAAGGTAATCTT